TAGAGCTTTAGAGTAGATTAGTATTTAAACTTTGTTTGTACGCTTGTAGAAACATTTTTCAGACTTCTGAAACCCGTGCGTATGCTTACGTATCCATTTAATAAATAAATGTTAAAAAATCTTAGTAATTGGAAAGAACTTTGAACATTTTTGTGTACCACTCCGATAACATCTTCAATTTTTGGATTAACACAAATATTTTTTTTCGTTAGTTAAATGTTTAAGTGCTATAGTAAATTTTTTTTTAGCTTTGATGTTTTTTTCAAACTTATTAATATGAAAATAGAAAAAAATTATATCTCTTTCAAATATAAAACAGAATACGGTAATATGGACCAGATGATGACCGCTGATCATGAAAAAAAATGCTAAATGAATACATTATTTTTTTTTCTAAAAAACATGATTATTTTTTTGAATAAAACTAAAAATTTGCTTTTAAAAATCTGAAGGTGATTTAACTTTCAGATTTCATCACTTACGTTATAATAATTCCTGAATACCTGTGAACTGTGCTCGATCCCAATATGCTAAGCCTAATCTACCCCAACCCCACTGCGCTGACTTTTTTAAATTTATATGTAACAAAATGTTATCAATGTAATTTACCATTTGTATGGAAAACCCTGTTATTGTTTTATCCACATTCGTCATATTTGATGTTAAAATGTTTAGATTTGTTAAGGCCGAATCAATATTTGAATCCACACACAGTTTTTTTACTTTCTTGGGAAAAGAGTAACGTTCGAGTACGCTATTGTCGACTTTTTGAAGCGTTTCCTGCAAAATATAAGATATGATATGTATTTTTTACATTATAGGCTATTCATTTATAAATATTTGTAATTAAACCTTAAACTCAAACGATGTGTTACAGCTCATATTTTCTATATTGCATAAAGATTCGTTTAGATTATTGAGAGTGTCCAGTTCAGCTTGAAATTCATCATGAATATCGTTAAACTGAAATTAGTAAAAATTATATGATTAAACAAATTGAAATATTGTAAGCCAACAATGTAATTTGTTAGGAAACATACAGGCCGCCAAGAGTAATTGTCAGGTGTCGATTGGTTTTGATTGGATTTTAGATTAACGCAGCTATTATAATCAGTCTTGGTCGAACACTCATTTTTATTTAGAAAGTCAAAGTTAAACCCTTCTAAAATGTGCTTTATGTCTTCATTGGTTATCGTAGCTATATTTTTAGTCGATTGGTGGTTCTGTTCTAGATTTTCTTTTTCTTTGTTCTTTATTTTATTTAGTGATATTTTTACTTCAAGTTTCTTATCAGGATCACAAATTATCGATTTACATTTTTCTAAATAATTTCTGTCTTTATTGCGGCTAGAGCAACGTTTAATATCAACATCTTCATCGCACGGTATATCAGAATGATCAGAACTATTTGCTTTGACTGCATATTCGCTTTCAACGTTATTTGTTTGATTATGAGTATACGTGGGAATGTGTTTGTCCTCATTTAGACTGTGAATTACCGGATCCAATTGGGATTGTTCTATTTGTTTGAGACGAAGTTTACATTTCAGCACTGATATAAAATTCATCGGAGGAGGTTGTTGTTTCGATGACACAAATTTAAATATTTTATCACTAACTACATCGGTTTGAGTGAACCCTTCACACACCTTTCTACTCAGAGTATCTGATGTGTTAGCTTTCAAATTTAACGGTTCGTCAAGGCGTACCGATTCGTTAGGATTTCTCGCAGATCCAACAAATGAAACAGTGGACGGATTTAATTTTAATATATCAGCTGAATTGATATGAAAATCAGATTTGTTTGTATAAAAATTAAGGTTTTTCTTTCTTTCGTTGTATTTCCTAAAACATTTCTGTATAATTCTGGCAGCTTGGATGCGCCTTTCTAAAATAAAAACAAAATATTATGATGGTTTTTTTTTTTTTTTTTTTAAATCATACGTACCACTATTTTGTTTCTCCTCAGCTATGGAGGTCTCGCTTAAGTCCATTTGGGGAATCACAAAAGTATTTTCATTTATCAACTCGTCAATGTTTTCAAAATATTTTAACTTTGAAAATAAAACTTCTGGTTTAGTGACATCTCGTTGTACTGGATCTATGAAATCAACATACGCCGATTATAATTTTTTATATTGATAAATGAAAAAATTAAATAGTTAAAACATTACAATTTTTATATTTTTGCAAGCAAGATCGGTTGGTTATTTTGTGCGAATTTGATTGTAAGGTCTCGGCATTTTTAGTCTAATAGAAAAAAAAAAAAATTTTAACGACAATGACAACGTTAATATATATATAAAGCTTTAAAAAAAATGTCATCGTATTAATTCACACAATACAAACCATTAAAAAATCCATTTTTTTCGACTCTGACTTTAATGGGGATTTTCCAATAGCATTCTGTATAGTTTTTACTGATTTTTGGGCACAGCTTATATTTTTTGGAGGCGACCATGTTTGATCCAACTTAACAACACAAATTCAAATAATTAATAACTAATAATCAAAAAACAGTTTTCAAATGGTTTACTTCAGGCTTTTGAGGCGATGATACCCTTATAGGCGTTCTGTTTCTGGTAATACATTTATCTTGTTGATCATCGGCGACCTAAACTTATAGAATCGTCATGATAAGCAAACAAATTTGGCTTTATCTAACAAATCATACATATTTTCAGACCTGAAATCCATGATATTACCTTTGGCTTCACCGAAGCTTTAGCTAACATTTTCGTAGTAATATGTAATTGCTGTAATCTAGTCTTACGTTCTTCTATTTCTTTTTGTTTTTCTAATAAATCCAGTTGAATTTTTTTGGCTCTTTCCTTCTTCTGTTTTTCGATAAACAATTTAGTTTCAATCGCTTTTGCATCCCCCCTAGCTTTTTGATTAACGGGGGATTCTATAACAATTCGTTGGGAGACCTCTTTGGCTTTCAAAGTTACACATTCCGTAGGTTTAGTGTCTGGAAATATTTCATTTGGTTTTTAATCGAAAACTGATTGGTTCCTTAGCTATTTTTTTGTAAATGAGTAAATAATTCTTACTTTGTTTATTAAGGAAAACAATTTCATTTACAGTAGGAACCTGCGGTCTTGTCTTAGTCTGGTTTTGTAACTGAACAACATCGGTTACACATGGTATTGAATTTGGTTTAATTTTACATGTTTCATGTATCGCGCCAGAAGTAAGGCACAAATCGTTGGAATCTTTAGTCTGCACAGCGTTTCCAATAATTCTTTGAGAGCTCATCGTCCTAAATAAAATAAAATTATTAAATTTTACTCAATTTACCTTAAAAAAAAAATTTATCAAAAATTAACCATCCACCAACCAAATGTTTAAAGTTTTTACCCTAATATAATTATTAACAAATTTTAATTAGGATCATTAAATAACTACAGTTTCACCCTCGTTCAGATGCGTTTCATGATCGAAACATCGAGATCAAATTTATTACAGCATTTAACTTAGGCTTTCTAGGACTATAAATTGAAGTATTGGAGCATAGTTTACAACACATACATCGTAGAATAGATAGATAAAATAGTTTGCCCAACTGCAGTATTGTTTTTTTTTTTTAATTCCAACATTAACCATTTTTTCTCACGCCAATTTAAATATTACCTTAATTTCCGGTTCAAACCTAAGCTAATATTTCAGTAATACCTAACCAATTCGATCAAATAAATAATTATATTCGACAATAAAATATAATAGTATAATACACTTACCATTGAAATTATGATTAACTATTAAAATATAACAACTGAACATTCACCGATGGTACGAATGAAGGTACTCAAGTATCACCTACTACGGTAATTTTTTTTTATGAAAGAGTGAGATACATTTTTTAGACGAAAATATTAATATGATATCTTTAATAATAAAAAGTGTCGATTACTATCATAAATCAGTAATATTATTGTCGTCTCCATGTTACGAAAAACAAAAACATTAACGAACATAATATTCTGTTATCAAACCATTATCACTTTTACACTATCACAGAACAATTTGAGTTTGGGGTAGTTCTTTACATACTATATAAAATCTTATCTAATCTGCGATTATACGAATAGAATTGGAATATTGACTAATGACTTACACAATCCTGTTATTTTATAATTATAAATTATAATACTAAATCATAGACAAGTATTTGTCACTACATAATATATATTTATAGTATTAAATAATTATTTTTCTCTAAAGAAATTTTACTCTTCAGTAATTATTATAGTGATTTATAATACTAGGACTAGGTATTTTTTACATTAAAGCTGTCTAAAAAAAAATTGTCGATCTAGCTCAAAATGTCTGTAATATTAAATGATTTCAATACATAGGAGCAGATGAGATAAACATAAAAAAAAAGAAAACTAAGCAGTTTGATTTTAAGCGATTATTCGCTGCGGATTAAAACCGCATCCGCGCGCGAACAAACCGCCTAGTGTGTAAGACACTTAGGATTTATTTTATTTTAAAATGCATTTGAGGAAAATAATCCGAATACAATCTGATACAATTAGATACAATCAGGATAAAACTTAAAGGGGTTCTTATAAATTAGATACATTTGTGTGTAAATTATTATGAATTGTACATTTTAGTATTATTATTGTACAAGTATATATGTATTATTAATTATATTATTTTTAATATTACAGAATTGATAAAATATATCAAACTACAATTTGCTACTATCAATTCGTCGATTTGATAGTCAACAGTGCAGCTATCGTAGACTGGAAAAAATAATTCTCGGTTGTCGACACTGTTAAAACACGTTTCTCGCTACAGATGCCGGCCGCGACCGCCAATGCCGTCCGAGTTAAATACAACAACAGGTACGCCGGGAACCCGCGACAACCCGGAAAATGGCCGACGGCATTGACGGGCGGCCGTGCGTTTCATACGGGAGCGGATCGATGGCCGTTTCGCGAGTGTTGATAACGCGAGTTGTGAACGCACCTGTCGACCGACGGCGTGCCGACCGCGGTTAACCTACAACCTACGCGGTACGTTACAATCTTGAAACAGGGATTGCTATCGTCTACCTTTACCTATCACAGTTGTTTACAATTGACATTCAGCCGAGCCGATCATGTCTCATCGCGACTTCCCAGTTCCGTGTAATAAACCGTTTTGTTAACAATATGACTTATTGGAATAACTTTGACGTCGACGCGGCCAAATTAAAGGAATACTTTCATTCGCACAAAACGGTCAAAGAATTTCAAGCGCACTCGTCGAAAGTCCATTCGGTCGGTTGGAGCTGCGACGGAAGACGTTTAGCGTCCTGCTCGTTTGATAAGTCCGTGGCCACATTCACGTTGGACAAAGACCGCTTGGTGAGCAATTAACACAGACTTTTATAGTCTACATTCTTTCCTTTTTAGTTGTAAGTTTTCAATTAAGTAGTCATGAGAGTCGATATCGATCCCGCAGTCAGTGATCATCCGATCCGAATCGATCGTGTCAAAGTTGTAGGTTTGAATAGGACCAAAGACGATATCGTGACAAAAACAACACGCAATCTGTTCGAATCTAGAACACTAAACGAAGCAGTTTCTAAAATTGTCGAAACCAAAAAAAACCTCATGAGACTCGACTGTTTCAACAAAGTCAGCAGCACATTGGACATGGAATCCGTTGACGGTCGTGACAGTTACTTTGTTACAATCAACGTGGAAGAATCAAATTGGATTAAAGGCCGCGTGAATATCTTAAATGATGTCTATCAGGATAGCCATGACCAACCCAAATTGTCGACTTGCATATCATTCATGAACTTGTTTCGCCGTGGTGAAAAACTAGCAGTATCAACTGATATATATTCTACAAATAAAAGATTTTCCACTGGTATGATTAGTTTCACAAAGCCATTATTAGCTCCTTATAAACCGACTTTGTACTTAGACATTTACAAGCATTTCATAAATAAAAAGAAACTTGGTTATTTTAATAATCAATACGGACTGAAAACTGGAATAACTCTTGAGTATGACTCGTGGTTCTTAGACTTGGGATGGGAAGGAATGATACGGAATTTGCAACACGTTCCAAACGCTCCATTCGGCATACGAGAACAACTTGGACTGTCCATGAAGTCGTCTTTGAAAATGTCTGCTTCTTATGACAGCCGCGACAGCCCAGTATTTCCTATTAATGGGTCGTTGGTACAATTAATATCAGAAGTTGCTGGTCTCGGAGGCAGTAACAATTTTTTCAAAAATGAATTAATACTTCAAAAAAGCATTAGATTGTTTTTGGGTACGTCCCTCACTGGTTCGTTTTCATTGGGTCTGTTAGAAAAGATGGGAAAATGCAGTATGGTAGACAACTTCTATTTGGGTGGTCCGTTAACGTTCAGAGGCTTTGATGATAACGGTGTAGGTAAAAACAACGATGGCAGCATTACTGGAACTACTATGTTCTGGAGGTTCAACACTCATCTACACGTTCCACTGCCGTTTTTGTCCGATAAAAATAAACTATCGCATTTTATCAGAATCCATATGTTTATGAACTCTGGTAATATGGGAAATCGTCAAGCTGATCTGGTTACAGACCTGAAAGCATTATTTAACAGCATTCGTTTGTCTTGCGGCGCGGGTTTCGCAGTTCACCTGAATCATTTTCTACGTTTCGAACTGAATTATTGTCTGCCTATTTACTATAGTAGCCAAGATTCTGTAATACCAAACAGGAGTCAGTGGGGCTTTGGTATTTTATTTTATTAGCAAAATAATTATGTATTACTCGTGATAGATGATTACCGATTAGATTGCCGTTTGTCATTGTAATTTGAATAAGAACAATAATAATATAGATATGTATATTAATATATATATATGTATATATTTATATATATATGTATATATAAGTGTATTATAGTAATAAAAGTTGTTTTTCATTTAAAAATTGTTTTATTTTATTACTAGTTGTGTTGCTCTGGCTTCGCCCGGGAGAAAGGGGCTATGTAATATGTCAAACTGTCCATATGTCAGCTGATTAGCTGTCAGCTGTGATAGTTTGCAAAAACTGTGACTAAAGTATATATATTTAAAGTACTTTTATTATGTATTTTAAAATATAATAAGTTTTAGATAAAAATAAGTAGAAAAGTTAGATATATTAATTATAAGTGGCTCAAAGTGTGTTTAAAAATATTTTCTAATCTACTCTCCAAGGTTTCAAAGCAAAATGTTGAAATTGTGTAAAAAACTTAATATTACCAGTAAATGTTTATCCAAATGCATCTTTAAATGAAAACTAAAAGTGAATTATTATGGTCTATGTGTGTGTTGTGTGAATATCAAGTTATTTATTAATTATGAATATTTAATTGTTTTTAAAAATCTGATTTTACGGACACTTAAAAAACATATTAGTATATCCTGTTGAAGATTTAACATTCTTATCTGTGTTAAACAGTTTTCGACGTTGATATTTTTCGTTCATTAAAACAATGTTATATTCAAGTTGTTTGAAAAAATTAGTGCCTACTGATGGCAAAATCTAAAAATGATTCTGTTTCACTGATAAATTGATGAAAAGTGCGTACATTAATCCACTCGAGTTTGACCGTTAACTAGTCACTTAGATTATTCGACTTGTCGCTAAACTTATGACACAACTTGGATGTGATTAGCATTTTATATATGAAATCTTCTGGAAATAAAAATTTTTTAGGTAGGTGATTTAAGTATTATACTATTTAAAACAATACAATGTTTGAGGGGTGTCAAAGCAAAACTACTTAATTCAAATACACACACATGGTATTTGTAATAATTCATTTTTTAAAACGTCCAGACATTAATCATTATTAAAGTTTGCTTTTGTATAGTATCGGCGGTCATCTAAATATAATGTTTTCTACTGTACTAAGACTCATATTTTTATACATCGGCGTTTTGCTTTGATACTTTTCAAAATGTTTATGGCTTTTACTGTTATTGGTTATTGGTATTGTTTCTAGTTCAAAGAAAACACGTACAAAGGCCACAACGGAAGTGTCGACCAATTATGCTGGCACAAATCGAATCCCGACTTGTTGAGTACGGCAAGTGGTGATAAATCGGTTAAAATTTGGGACGTCAGACATCAAAAATGTTCCAACACTATTCTCACTAAAGGTTGTACTATAAAATTTTAGAATGTTATTTTTTTTTTTTTAATTTATAGCAAATATAAAAAAGCTGGTAACCATTTTTTTAATGTAATATGTTCTAGGGGAAAACATCAACATTACGTGGTCGCCCGATGGTAACACGATTGCTGTGGGCAACAAAGAAGACTTGATTACCTTTATCGATGTGCGTACGTTGCTGCCATTCAACGAGGTGCAGTTCAATTTTGAAGTGAACGAAATGACGTGGAACAACAGTAGTGATTTATTCTTTTTGACCAATGGTTTAGGATACGTATATGTTTTAAGGTAAAATCCCAAATTTAAGTTTTGCACAGCCGACAAGAATTTATGATTTTTAAAAAAAAAATTTTTTGTTATAATATAACCACATTTTTAAATGTTAGTTTTCCAGACTTAAATCAACGTCACATCGTCAAAGCTCATCCCGGCACTTGTATTTGTATAGAGTTTGCGCCCAGCGGTCGTTATTTTGCCGTAGGCTCGGCAGACGCTTCGGTTTCCCTGTGGGACCTTAAGAATTTGGCTTGCATTCAAACTTATAATAGGTGAACACGCATACAAAAACAAAATCACACTGCCGACTTTGCTTAATTTCACTATTTTGCTTACAGATTAGATTGGCCGGTACGCGCAATTAGTTTTTCACATGACGGGAAATTGTTGGCATCTGGCAGTGAAGATTTGTACGTCGATATCGCGGACGTAACGACTGGAGAAAAAGTGAGTTCTGTCAAATATAAATTGAACAGAATTAACTGTTTAAATGTTTTTTCTTAACTTGTCTTAGATAACCGATATTCCTATTGAAGCAGCCACGTTTACCGTAGCGTGGCATCCCAAAGAGTATTTGTTGGCATTTGCGTGCGATGACAAAGATCAGTTTGACAGGAAAAGAGACAGTGGAAATTTGAAGCTGTTCGGTATTAGCTCAGACTAAATACTCTAAATACATTATTATTTAATTTTTTTTTTTTTTTTTTTTACATCATTTTATAAAGTAATAATATTTTAAGTGTTATGTAAATGATGTCATTGCCTTGGCTATTAGTTAAGCCGTTAATCAATTAAAACTAAACGACTGATATATTATTTTTAATAACTAATAATTCAATTTTAAAGTACTTTTATAAGTTGGGTACAATTTTAACTGGACTGTTTAAATTAATTATATATAATATTTGCAAAAAAAAAAATTAAGTATATATTTTTTTGTATGTTTAAAGTACATAATTTTTATTTTTACGAATTCAAGTACAAAGTTATTAATGTTAAAACCAGTTTATTATTTTAATTATTATTGGCACTTATTTAAAATATGAAATTAAACTCAATGAATTTTTATCCGGACAATACCATTTTTTTTCAATACTAAAATATATATTTTATATAAATGACTAGTTAGACATAAGATGACTTTTTTTAAACATATTTGACTATAATCAAATAATCAGTTTGATCCGTAAGCCAATATGCAATTTTTAATATCTTGAAATATAACTTAATTTGTTATGTTATTGATGATTGTACGTACTTTGGTAAATATTATGTTCTTGTTCACTATTATATTTATATATTATACCTAATGTGTATACCTTATTTTACATAGTTTAGGTCACGTAGATAATTTAACTGTCTATACTTTTCTGTTGAATGAGAAATATATATTTTTGCACTTTGTATTTGGTCAGTTCAAAAATCATACAACTATGAACTGGTATTAGTTATACATTATTATGTTTTGCGCCTACTCAATAAAAGAAAATAACATTTTTTGTAATGCTAAGAGTAACAGTTATATCTCTCTGGCGCAAAGTAATTTTTTTAATTGTGAATTTCATAGACATAATATGTCTTTTATAGCATACATTTTGCTGTTGTAATGACTATTGCTTAACTATTTATATAAGTAAGCACTAAGGAGTACTGTTTTAGAAGATTTTAAAATTACTAAAAAATAGTTAATTGACTTATAAATAAAGCCAGTACGCTGTTACGTAAAAATAAAATACGACAACTAACACAAAGTTTGCGTTCAAATTTTTGAAATTTATTTTAATTGTTTTAACTGCGAAGGTATTAGTTTTACCATTTATTTATTCGTATGAAAATTATTGTAGTTTTACAATAATGTGTTTTTTTTTTTGTGTGTGTCTTAGGTCACAATAACTTTTTTCTTGTGGACCAATTTACTAGAGTAGCAACTCTATCGATCCGTAACCGTATGCGATTGGTACTTTGGTGGGTCAGACGTAGAAAAGTTCACGCATTCCCTTTTAAAATCAATTTAAATTTGCTAAAGATAAACGTTGGCTAACATAAAAATATCTCTAGAAAGGTTGCAACTGTTTTTCTTTATTTCACTTTTTTTAGGGATTAATGTCTGAAAATTTGTCGAAATGGAAATCTAGAATGGTGTTATAACATTTACAACTTTCTCAAAATTCTGTTGTCAAATATTTTTTTTATAAAGGAAAAACCAAATAAAAAATGTGAAAAAATACACTTTGACAGTTGTAAATTTTGTTGGTTGCTTTGTGTGAGTCAACAGATGTTTAAAATATTTGTGAATATTATATATTCACATATTCGACATGCCCTGACCCCACTGTACTGGCTTTTTTTATAAATATTAATATTTTAGGTAGTCTTTTATTTTTTCAAGAGTATTACTTATAATGGTAATCTAGCTTAATAATAATATTGGTCTTATGTATGCTATATATGGATCTCTCTCTTTATATATATATATATATATAATGAAATTCTAATAAGTGTAGAATTCTTCCATAAAAAAAAAATAAAAACTTTCAGATATGTTATATTGCTAATGTATGCTAATGTGTATAAGCAAAATAATATTTTTTCAACTCGTTTACCGAGTAATAAATTTATATTTAATTTGATATTAAAATGTATTTAATCAACCATATTATATATTCCAAATATAATTATATTTTTAGATGTCTTAAAACATTTTAAATTAAATACATACCTATTTTGTTTTAATAAATAACTGTTCAATTCCTAAAAAATTATAAAATAAACTCTTAATAAAAACACCTTATCAACAATTAAATAGAACATAACTATAATAAATAGCAAAATTAATTTTATATTATAATCTCCACTGCCTTTCAAAAGACCTGTAACTGCTTTTTTATTTTAATAAAAAATGTTATTATTGATGAGACTTCTGAAAAAAATCAAAAAAACTAAATTTCGTTCGAGGGAATAGTTAATTTTATCAAGAAAAACAACTTCGGTTGCTGGGAGGAAAAAAAACAATTTTTAATTTGAATAGGTCCAATATTTATTATATAAACATGTTGAATAATTCCCATCATTCACTGGTAAAGACTGCAGCTGCTTTTTCCCTCACTTGCATTGAATTTGTACACAATATAATATCTAGTTATTCATTTAATTATATTTTGCCTGTTTTACTGTATTACATTTTTTACAGAATACATAATAGTAGATCTTTTATAAATTTGTAAATTGGATAGTACTTGTTGCTATTTTTGCATAGTATTGTTTAAAACAAAGCGCCAGGCCGACACTATTCTATTAAGTTTATTTTGTTTGATGTCTCTTCTCATTGAGATTAGACAATTCTAAGATATAATATATTATATTGAATAAATAAAATTATTATATAACGATGGAATATCGCCGCAACATTATATTTATAACTTCTTTAATTGTCAAAAATATTAAATAATATTTAAAAATCAACATATTTAAATGAGATGAATCATTACTATTTACTCCTTAATAATATGTGGTGCTGGACTCGCAACAAACACCGTTAATAATCGTGTATTGTATACAATATATACTGTCAATGTTGGCATGACCGAAAGGTGATTTAGACAGTGTAGCCATAAGTCACAGAAAAATTAAAAGAAAGGAAATATCTAAGTTCTGGCATCACTGGGTAAAACTTTTCGTAATGGGCGTTGTTAGTATAAGTACAGGAAATAAATGTATTTTTTTAATATAAAATTGAATATTAGAAATTAGTAATTTTATAATATTATTATTATACATGAAGCATGTACACAGTTCCAGTGGACAGATTTTCTAAATTGCTATTAAAAAGAATAATGCTCTAGCAACTCTGTTTAAAAGCCAGCCAATTGAAAAGGAATAGTATAGATATTCTGTAAGTATCATAGCTTTTAGCATTAAAAATAAGTAAATCAATTTCAAACCGATAAAAAGTAATAGTATTTTAATTGTAAGACCTACAAAGAAATGTATATCATAATTCATACAATAAATATATCACAATGAAAATCTACACAAGCAGTGTCATCATTTAATTCTTTGTTTTCTGGAATTTCAAAGCCTAGAGGTAGTGATTGATAGATGGTAACTTTAGGTCGTATTCATTATCTTGAACATTTGGAGCGTTGTTTGATTTTTTTCTAATAGAACATAATAAACAATAGAAGGTAGTATAGAACCAATTGCATATTTTTTTTCATCTGATATCTGAGATTATGACAGAGACATGTGGCAAATTTCAGGTTTAATTCAGTTTCCCTTCACATGATCCTATCTCAAATAGAAAATTTGAATTAATTAAAATAAAAATAAATTGTATTTCAATATTAAAACAAATTAATGACAGATCCTTTGATCACTTTAAAATCTTTTATTCGGACATTACACGTCTGGATTTATGGTACATATAATTGATTATAACAGTAATGGTTTATTTGTGTCTACACTGCCCCCTGAGAAGGATGGGATAAAAATCACTTTCAAATAAACGAATGATTAATTTTATAGTCCCACTTGTAATAATTTGTACAAAACATTTTCCTATAAATGTATAACAAATTGTGAAGTTTATATATGATTTCAATAGATTTAAATTTACTGAAGCCATGCTGCTCATTAGCTAAAATACGTTTAAAAAGAAAAAAAGCTTAGGCTCAATTAATTTAACTAAATTATTTCTACTATCTAAACATTATTTCAAAGTTCAGTCATTTAGGATCTTAAATTACAGCATTCAAAATCTAAGTAAAACGCTTTGTCGCGAATTATCATCAGTTTAAAAAAAAAATTAATAATTGTTTGCTATAAATGCCAATCAGTTCAAATAGTAAATAACAATATTATAATATGATATTATATTTTTAACACATTTTATTGATTTGATTTAGTCACGTTATTTAGAAACTATAGCTGTACACACATTTGAAAGTATCATTCAATTTTACAGTTTAAATATACGAAGCAAAAGTTGTACAGTAAAAGTAAATAAAATATCACTATTTTCTAACAATATACAAATTAATTGTGACACATGTTATTCGAAAAGCTATCAAATGAACGGATGACTTCAAAGTCTATACCGCTAAAATATTTTTCTTCTATGGTATCAGGTTGGTATCTCGACGGGTTGATATACAAAGCATATTTCACAAGGAGTTTGAAAGTGCCGTGACACTTAGCAATGTTATTGGTCAGTGTCTCAAAAGATTCGACGTCGACTCTTCTGGAGCATCTTTTTTTTATTATTTTACATATATTACTTTTTTTCATTTGAAACAAGTCTATTTCTATAATGCCGTTCATTACTCTCTCGAAAACACGAGAGTCGTCAATTGCAGGTCTCAAAAGCAAATGATCGATTTTGAAATAAGATTTACAATCGTCGATCACCATAGCCTCGGTTATTTTGTCGATTCTCTTTTGGACCGTGGTCTTGAATTCGTCCACGGCGTTTTTGATGGACTCTCGCGTTACTATCGGACCGGCACGGATTCCTTTTAGACGTTTAAAACACTCGGAATCGTCGTATTGGTCGTTGTACGAGTTATTGTCACCTTCGACGTTGCAATGCAGTTGAGTGAACTGTGCAAGTCTGGTGGAAACCGTTTCGTGCTGTTGCAACAGGCGGATCATCCGTTTGCGGTCGTTTAATTGACGGTTTTCGTCCAGCGAGTTCAAACTGCTCGCGTACATGTACACCAGCCACAAGTGATCCACCGAACCGATCTTACCGAAATTGTACAAGACGTTTAACATGTCCACCACCGTGTCTTCGAATAAAAACACCGATTTCGTCTGATAACCCGTCAGTTCCCCAGACGCATCCTCGCCTTCTGCGAACAACAGATGTCCGATCAAGTTCATGTAATGGCTACAATTGAACACAAAACTGCACAGGAGTTTCCCGTGAACGTCGTCGATCGCCGTCTTCGCCGTCCACGTTGCACTATTCTTTTGTCCGGCATAATCGTTGTTTAACTGTCGATGAGAGTATCCCGTGTCGATTTCGAGCAGTCGTTCGTAATGATCTCGCGTTTCGTATTTGGCATATTTTTGACGGCCACACGAATAGCCGTATTGCAAACAACCCACTTGTATTACAATCAGCAACGCCAACGACCGAAAAAGCGACATGACTTCTTTTTAACTTAAAAAAAAAAAATGTGTTAAGTCGGACAGCGGTTGTGGTTTTTCGCAGTACCTACTAAATTGTGTATTTTAGGGGAAAAAAATTGTACTTTGTTTTTCTAGTTGTATAATGAAAAAACGAACGCACAAAGACATATTTTTTCCATGTTTGTTTTTTTTGTTGTTGAGATTTATTGCAGTGCCTATACTATGTATACTAGTATTCAATGTGTTTTACCACTAGTCTAAATAACAGTTTACGGTTAGTGCAAATTTGTAAGTATAACAACATGTTTTTCGATGCTTATAGCATATATACAGGGTGTCCCGTCATGATTTAATAATACCTTCTTGAATTTAGCTTCACAGCACTATAGCCCTGAAATATTACACACATTTTATCTTATAAATGTATGATGGTCATTGTATGAATAGGAACAATAATTGTACTTGGATTAGAGATTTCAATTTTTAAATTAAGTATACCAGTTCATAATTGTATACTGTGAAGTGTTCACAAAAATAAAATGGATCTATTTCTGCAGCATTAATCAGTCAAAGCTCCTCCACATAAAGAAATAACAAAAAAGATATTATTCTACAAGGAAATAACTAGAGTTTTATAAAATATTGTTTAACTAAAACATATTAAATAGAATTGGAAGTTAAAAACAATATTTTTCTTCCATATATCAAAATACTAATAACTCAAAATAAATATATGAAAGGATTTTTGTTTTTTTTTTTTTTAATTAAACAAAATACTCAGTTGCAGTTTTACTTTAGAAATAATTCTTAAAATATATCTCTTAAGTATCTATTTTTCACAATATCGGTAAAAAATTATTTTTAACATTTTATCTTAATCAAGATTTGTTTATTATGTTATGATTATAAAAATAATTCAATTAAATAAGACATATCAAATTAGAAAATAAATATGAGAATATGATATTTCAGTTATTAAAATATATTGATGGGATACCCCGTATCGATAAAGGCGTAATCATAATTGACAATTATACTGTTGTGCGTTTGTTTATTCGTACAATCGATAGACGATAAGATATTGTTTAAAATACTCCAATCGTACACTGCATAGCGGTATAGAGATGTTTTTTAATTTAAAATACGAAATTTATTTTGGCGGGTTTTTGGTAAAATCGCTATTGACACTACTGATATTTTAAAGGTTACATAACCTTTTATCTATTTCTTATCAGTTATCACACTTAGTTATCATTTTTTGTAAGAACTGCCCCCAAATTTTAATAGATATTATGATTTTTTTTTACTCTCTAAACCCTTTAACAGACTGCTTTATTTTAACCCTTCGCTGCATAATATTTTGAGTTTTAGTTTCACAGAGAACGCCAACTTTTTAATTGTTTCAAATGTGGAACGTTGTGCCTAAAATGGTTAAAATTTAAGCTGCAGTAGGGTGTAGGACACTAATTTTGTAGTATATAAATTTTAAATGTGCAGTTGATTTCAAAAATATATGCACTAAAAAAATAAAAAATAATATTATGTAAGATATCATAATTCATATTATATTAACAATATGTATAAAATGTTGGCCAAATTTTAATTTTTGTGTCAAAAATATGGAAAATCTTACATTTTTCAGAGAGGTATGCAAGTTACATTCAACATATTTGTTATATGGCTTTAAAAAAATAACATGATATGTATTAATTTTTTTCTAAATAGTCAGTTTTTACTTTTTCCAAAAAAACATTTTTTATGTTTTGTGTCAAGTGAGTACAAACAGCGTATGAATTATAAGGATTAAATCAAACTAAAGTGTTTTAATATTTACTTTAGTGTCGGCAATATTCGGATTTATCAAAGTGACTATCTGTCAAATTGAAATTGTTTTACTTAAATTAGTTAATAAAATTATTGCTTTCAATAAACGTTATAAAGTACATACATGGTTTTTAACGATAGACTTATTTTTTATTTTGAATTAAAAAAATTAATCCTAATAATTTGTCATTTCAATGTTTTTCTTTAAATACCTACCTAAGAATATTTTTTTGTTGTGCGTATATTATTCGATTTTCTGCATTAAGGGTTCAAAGAAAATTGTTGATAATTTTACAAGATTAACTAGTTTAATGGTGGACAATTTTATTAATTTGTTTAACGTTAGCATCTAAGAAACATATTGAATTAATATTAAAATGATGTTGAAATATCAAAAAAGAGGTGAAGAGAGACGAAACTTCACTCTAGTCTAATAGTAGGTTTAAAATAAAATATTTATGTGCAATTAATACAAAAAATGTCTATACACTGTGCGAGTACTCCACTACCTCCAATCTCAAAGCTTGCTAATAATAATTTCTGTAATAACATATGTTAAATAATTCTGGAGTTTATATTTTTGTGGTAAAATTTGAAGTAAAACATAATGTACTACGATGATAATAATCACTCAAAGATGCATAAAAACAAAACACATAAGCAATCGAAAGTTGTTACTCTTACCCGTTATTAAAAAAAAAAAATAAAAAATGTTTGTAGTTAATTTTTATTTTTACCTTAGATTTTGACATTAATATCTATAAAACAAAAATGCTTATTTAATCATTTTCAAGTTATTCGTGTTACAAATTGATAATTATGTCGTATAATTTTAACAACATTGTCGTGTTGAAAACATACTGAGAAATTTTAAATTAACTATTTTATCTCTAATCAAACTATTATAAGTATAATTCAAAAACACCAATGCTATTTAACTATTATGTATTTTACATAACATAATTGATAAAATGTTTATAATATTATTTTAAAATGTGTACATTTACAGACGTATATAAAAAATAAAATATATAGAAAATCTTATCTAAATATTATTTTACGATTTAAATGGTAATTATAGTTAAACTCTAATAGACCACTGATTCTCACTTGCAGTACTAAATTTGAGCAAAATAAAACTGTATGTTCACATTTATGTTAAATTAATAAATTTTATTTAACAATCTATTTTGTTATATCCTAATATTTTTAATAGTAAGTTGTAATAGTTGTGTTGTAATAGTAAAATGTTCAGTAATTAATAAACAACGAGTTTAAAATAAGTCAAGTATCACTTTTCCATAATTTTATCGTTTTGTCATTTTCTAAGGCGGCTGATGCTATGATATTTGCTGTTGGATGACAAGATGTACACAAAACCACGTCTGAAAAAAATGCAAAAAACTTAGAACGATAACCTTTGCAAAAAAACAATATCAAATTATGAAATTACCAGTGTGTCCTTGCAGTTTCTGTACAATCTCCTTTGATTGAAGATTCCAAATATAAACCATGTTGTCTTCCGAACCAGATACGATCCACTAGGATTAATGAATTAAGAAAAAAAAAATAGATTCATTATAAAGAGAAAAAAGACTATAACTGTAAATGGCAAGTAAGTAAAAAATTGATTTCTAGCCACTCACTTTTCCTCCGGTCACAGAAAAGTTGGCAAATATACAATATTTTTCATTTTTGTGGCCAATATAAGTCTTTAGACATTTTCCTTTGGTGTAATCCCACAATTTTAACGTGTTGTCTAATGTGGCTGCAAGTATATATTTTCCATTTGGTGAAAATTTAACGAAAGATACTGGCGGATTGTCGTCGTCGATTAACGTCTTCAGACATTGACCGCTGGCAGTGTCCCAAATACGGCTGAAAAAATTATCTCATTATTAATAAAACATTCAATCACACAGTGTAGGAATTTTAATATTCTACCATAACCCATCGTAGCTGCTGGAAACAACCAAGGAACCGTCTCTGTTGAAATGTACAGCGCTAACTGGATCTGAATGCGCAGGTAACGTTCTAAGACACTTGCCACTTTTTACTTCCCAAATTCGAACACTTTCATCAAACTAGAAAACGAATGATATTTTAAGATTTGAGTTATTAAAATAAATAATTTTTAAAATATATAGCTTACTGATCCCGAAGCAATGAGATTTGATTGTGGGTTGAAATTGCAGCAAAATACATAATTGCTGTGTCCTTTAAGTGTCTTGACACATTTTCCCTGCAAAGAGAAAAGAATATATTTTAACATATACTTTAAAAACAAACATTATAATACAATGGAGGATTTTTTATAGAATACACAGGGGAGGGGGAAGGTGGAAATATAAATGTAATATCAACTCAACGAGAGTAAAAGCGAGACCATAGGAGTTACTATCAAATTCATGACAGCAACTCTCACAACGGCTTTTAACGCACCTTTTGCTCTTGTCGTGTGGACTTCGCTTCAGTCAAACGCGTAAATGAGAGGTAAAGAAGACGCTTTAAAGCACCATCTGTGGTGGCTGTCTTTTGCCAAAAGATTACATTTTTTCCAAATTAATTTTTTTTTTTTTTAAACTAAATCTCTTTTGGTAGAATTAATTTAATAGCAATTCAACAAACTTTACAAAATGTAAATCTGCCTCATAACAATTGTATGTTTCGGCTTTCTACCACGTGAATGAATACTAACGACAGATTGTTTTTGACTTCTTTGCCAACATCTGATACAAACTTAGAAGAAAAAACTAAACATGTTTTATTCATTGAGGGCTATAAATTTATTTTGAGGAACCACTGAGTTAGTCTTAGGCTTAGGAATGTGTATAAAATTAATGATTCAAAGTAAAAGTAAAATACTTACTGAACATAATTCCCACACTTTAAGAGTTTTATCATCGGACGCTGATACCAAAAGTCGGCTATCCGATGACCAACTGACATCACTAATACCTAATTTGTGACCAGATATGGTTTTTTCAAATTTTCCATCATACGCTCCCCAAATTTTGATTAATTTATCAGCCGCTGTAAAAACCAAACAAAATAATTTATAGTTACAACCGTTTTTCATAACATGCCATTTTGGTGTTTTATTTGTTTGATCGGTAAATACAACTTAAATATTATTAATATTTTAAATATAAACATTTATTTATTTTACCCTCGTAAAGTGTTAAAATTTTTTTAAAAAAAGTCTAGTGCATAATATATAACACATAAGCAGAAGTTAAACGAATTTTAAAAAATCAGTGATAATCAATTAAGTTTTGATTAAAGAAAACATATATAATGTGATTTTTTTAAATATTGGTACTTGTCTGTTAACGGAACTACCACTATTCAATATATTTGCTATCGGAACTACCGAAAAAACATTTTATTTTATTAAAATTCTATACAAATAAAGATGTATTCAAATATGAAATCAATATTGAAACTATAATAATATTTTTTTATCTAAAAAGTGAATTGTTATCTCTGAACAAATAATGAATTAAAATTTTTATTTTATTCATAATAGCATTGACTATAAATTACTATAGATTACTCACAGAGACAAATTTTAGTTCTGGTCGCCAACATGGGACAGTAATATCAGGCGCTGGTAATATCATTTTTACTGTAAAAAGTTTTTTTTACAGTGCCTGTCCCCTATTGGGGACTAGAACTAAAATTTGTCTCAGTGAGTAACCTATAATAACTTATAATTAATTGATAATAGCTTCAAAAATATTACTGTCTGTGACCATAATTAGGCAAAGCATGACTGCCACACAAAACATTTTATTACACGTTTAAACCGTTCCTACAATCGCTCAATATTTTGAGTATGATCGCCTGTTTTAGGTCCATGAAATTATATAGGACGGCGTATAAATAACACATGATTTAAGCAAAGAACTTTTCAAATGTTTAGAACAAAAAAATACATAAATTATTCGACCGAACATGACTGAAATGTTTTTGAAAATGAAACTGTCTGGTCATCAATGTATGGTCCAAACTCCGTAAAATGTGAGAAGAGCGGTTATAACGAAAGTCCGAATGCGCGGCTCCTAATGAGCATCTAGCAACAATGCCTCCACCTCCCCAACAATTTATTTATACCACATTAAACTAGATTTAATAGAAAATTTATATATATATATATGTATTATATACCTATATTTGTTTTTTAAATTAAAATGTTCCAACTGTTTAAAATACAGGCATTCTTTACGCGTCATCCTGAACGAATGATTCACTAGCTAATTGACTAACTGGCCTATTCACAAACATAGTCTAACCTACCATGGTAATATTTTAGATAGTACCGTTCACCGACGAGTACTATTAATTTGATTTTCTGTAAATTATCGAAATATGTGTTAATGAATCGGTTGTACCGTTAATTTTGTGTTTCTATAAAGTTAAGTAGGCAAGTCCTAGCTGCCCATCACTTCCAAAATCTTATCGTTTAGGTTATCTGTCCAAAATCATAAATATTACAGATTTAACCGACAACACTTACATGAACTAGCCAGCCATTCTCCGTTAGGGCTGAATTTCACCGACGACACAGCTTTTGTGTGACCGGCCAACGTAAATTTCAACGTGTAGTTCGGCTTCTAAAACAAAAAGAATGGGTATTGTTAAAACGATATCGATAACGAATATTTTGTTCATACCACACTGCTGGACGACTTCTCTTTATCTCTTGACTGTTGCATACTTTGGGGGCCGCCAATTTGAGAATTCTGTCCGATGGGTACCATGTTGGTGGAAATTCACTTTTTATGCATAGACTTGTGTACTCAGAACATTTCGTATGAGGTCCAGTGCGTCCAGTGCGTTTCGATTTCGAACAAAGTCTAAACGTCAAAACATTATGTCTACGGAAATCGGAAGCCTTTTATAGCCTTGTCTCTAATACCTGTATATTTAACATCAAAGAACAAGCACAACCCCGGACGAGTAACAACAATAAAACAATACACGGTATCATAATCTCAATGTGGCCGTCAGTCGGCGGCGGCAATCGGCATCCTAATCGTAACGCATGTGCTCATGGAACATTGTTTGCATTTTCAACCCGTGGGAAACGTTGCTTACATTTTCTATTCCATGAAAATCAAAAGCCGATGGCGGCAAAATGTCAACGGCCACTGCGCGCGGGTTGCCGCAGTTATTCGTCAGCTGTAGAATTTGATTTAATTGAATTCGGTAAAACAATTATAAAAAAAATCGTATACGCTTCAATTACCCGAGAAACTTTTAATATAGACCGTTCAAACCCGATTGAAGGAGTTCAAAGCGATACAGAGGAAGATGAGGGAATGAGACGGCCAGTGGGTAATACCGGTCGGTGGCGTATCTCTTTAAATATGATAGCAAAAATATAGATAAGCGCATAATTCGATAACTGTTGTTAACAAAAACTAAAATAATAAAACTGGTGTGCATTATTTAAGGAAACTGTTTCATATTTTATTTTCATATATCCACATTATTTTATGTTTGAATTTCAAGCGTTTTGTCTAAAAAATTACATTAGGTATTTTCAATCTATATAAGACAGAAAACAATCCAGTTATATTACTTCATTTTCACACAAACTGTCAAATAATAAAGTAGAAGACCCAAATTTATACAGCAAGACCAGAAAAAAATTCAAAACAGAAAATACTAGAAACAAAGATTTATTCCATATCTCTCCCAAAGTCCCAAACAAAACAGAAAAAAATTATATGTTACATTTCCCAATGAACATCATGATGTCAAGTGAAAACTATGTGAGCACTAGTAAAGATTTCTTTCCTTAAAGGCCCATTGATGGTTGAACTTACAGTTACTGTCGCGAAAGTACTATCAACTATCAAGTCACCCTTGATAGTGTGATAGTACTATCACAATAGTGCGATAGTGACTCTATCGGGATGACACTACTTTTACCAAAAACCATGTTATTCCATGGTACACTTTTTCTAAACAACATTATTTTCCAGAGACCATTTTTTCTGTTAACCACTTGTTCCAAACTGGAAAAATAATAGATTGAAAAAAGTGGTCATTGGGTCGTTAGTTTTTACACGTACAACAATACTTCCCAATTTTAAAATATTCTTTAGAAAATATATTCATTGGAAAAAGTAGATGTAAGGCTTATGGATATTTTCATACTTCGGAAAGTTAGATAATTAGTAATATAACTTTTATAACAATTTATCTATTGTCGTTTTTTCCATTTGAATAATTTACTTCTTTTTTAGATTACTTATCTCATGTTTGACTACATTTTGAAATCATTTTTTGCGAATTAATAGTCATAAACATGGGCGGATGTACGCTTCTCAGCGTGGGCTTTAAAGCTTCGGCACTCACTAAATCCTAAATTTAACTGCTAATTATTAAACAGCCATAGCTGTCCAAAATTCACACTTATTCATTCATTAGTTCATTTTAATCATATTTCATATTGCATATAACAGAAAACGTTAGACTTAATTTTTTTAATATTTAATAATAGGTAATTGTTAGCGTCTTGAATGGTTTATTCATACATTATCAGAGCATTTTTCTTAACCACATCTACCTTTATACGTTGTCCATTAAATGGAAAACCGTACATCGCCGGACTATGTAGGTTCATCATTATGGGACTTATTCTTATTATCATATAATAAGCAAAAATTTTAGTAATAAGAAAAAAAGTAATTACTTTTTGAGGTACTAGGGAGGATATTCTATAGACGGGCTCTCCTTCCTTTAATTACACCTGTGGATTTGTATGGGAAAAATCGTTTTTTAAAGATGTATCTAACCCATGTTTTCAAACAGGGTTTTGATCCCAATTTGTATTTGAATTTCACAGTAATAGTTTTCAAGACAGATTATAAGTCGATTGAACAATTTACCAACACGACGTTAACCGTTTTAAAATGTGGATGTATGTAAACAGCTATACAATGTATTAAACCTACGCTAGGAAATGTGTCAATATTTTTGTAATCTTCAGTATAAAAACTCTCATATATACATATGAATATCGTAAAAAGGCCTTTCCATAGTATGTATGTTCTTTTTCGAATTCCAGCAAGTATAATAATAATTTCAACCATTGCATCAGCCCCTAACCTAACCTAGCCGGTTGTTTTTTAAATTGTTCTCAATTGGCAATGTAAAATATAAACAGATATTTTTTCGAGCGTTTCGATTGAAAATCTAATCGTTTGCTGTTAAAATGAAATTGTTATTGTGTTTTCTGTTGTGTTGTTGTCGTTGTAACTGTTCTTATTTGTACAAATATTTCACTGAAAAACCACTTATTTTTTTTGTTCCATACTATAGGTCGGTACTATTAGTTTTTATATCTTTATGCGAATTGTTGTTTTCAATATTCCACAGTATTTTTTGACCCTGCATATTATTTTTCTGTTCGAATACATACAAATGCAATTTTCATAGATCAAATTGATTTACACAATACAGTATACCTTGGTAACCTCTACTTTAAGTACAATTTGAATTCCTAAAACTACAAATAAAGAAAAAAGATTAATTAATCCCACTATTTTTCAAAACAAATATGCTTTGCCTAAAGGTTAATTTAATATAATATAAGTCAGCGCTTATAATCAAAATCTAATCTATAATACGTGATAATTACGAAGCGATTTAAAATTATATATATATTATTAATTGAATACAGGGTGATCATATTATCGTGAACTATTGTACATTGTTTTTATACAATGTGATTTAAATTTTTCACCATTTTGTAATGGATTTTCCCTTTGAGAATATCCGTCGATGGTCATACTTAAGTTTAGGCTACTATTTGTTTTACGGACTATTAAAGGCAGTAGTTGTAAATGAATAAAATATTTATGTGCGCAAATCGATATCGTAAATAGTATATCCGATTAGATAACAATTTCAAGTTTTGACTATTTCCTATGACCAAGCATTTTTTTTTAAATTAATAACCATGTCCTTTGTTCTCTAATCAGAATATTAATGATTCATACAAAAAAAATACATACACTGATAATTTTTAAATAAAAAATAACGTTGTTATGGCTATTTTACCAAAATGGGGTAAAAAATAAAATTTAAAAAAAAAATACCTAAAAAATTAACTTATTTTTCAACTTAAAAATACGCTGCTTTAACACTTTTTTTTAAACACTTGAAATTAATTCCAAATTTGTATGGAATATTCGTTAAACATAGTACTATCGGTAAACATTGGGAAACCAAAAGATTAGCATAAACTCTATTCTCTAGAAGGGATAGAATTTTTTTTCTTTAAATCATTTTTTCAAGCAAAGTTTTAGGTATTAAGGTGTGAAAATTAAACCGTAGGTAGAGCTACAGTAGAGCTATTACATTGTACACATAATATGTATATACATATATATATATATATATATATATTTATAAATTATTTTTTCAAAATTCTGTAGTCAAACGCTAAGTCATTAAGGAGAAAAATTATAATAATTATACAAATATTAGACGGAAATTATTTATTTTTTTAAAATTGCATATACATTTTTAACGTAGATTTTTATTGTTAGATAACACATAAGGAATTTTTAGCAAATATTTTGAGGTAAAATATAATTTATTACTATTACTATATATATATATATATATATATATATAAAAGTTTCAATTTTATACATTTTTCAAGTCATTAGTTCAAAAATGTGTAAACCGATGCTACCCGTTAATATTATAATTATTGTCCATATAATAACACAGCTTTGAGTTGTTGCAGTACTTCTATACGATCGAAGTTTGGTTCAGCGCCTGTTTCTGTCTTGAAGTTCACGATTGCACGTCTTGTAATAGTTTCTAATGCTGCGGTGGCTTTTTTGATAGTCGGTATATTTTCTATGTCCACATAATCGCCACTATCCACCAAGCCTATCATGTTAACATATCGTTGACTAAACTCCACGCATGTATCATTGTAGAATTGTTTTCGAGCTGCCAATCCCTTTGATTCGGCCTCTTTAAATAAATTTCTGGCGTATAATATTTGCTGCACCGGAACAGTCGCTATGCAATAAGTTGTAAACTTGTCGTGAATGTTTTGTAATGCAATGTCTATAGTTTTCAAGCGAGCAACGGCTACGGAATTTGAGACCCTTACATCCTGTATTAGTTTATTCGTTACATGACATATTCTATTCAACATTGAAATTCCTTCACTTTCGATCACGTTCATAAGCCGAATAAATGCCTCCACGTAATCATTACTACTTATGCACTGGTCCATAACTTCGCGCAATGGTCGGCCCGCGGTAGTACAGCTATAGTTGTTCCGTATAAAGGCCATAAAACTGTTTGCATCTTGTAAACTGGCCAGCGAATTTCCAGTAAAGAAAATATTTTGCCACAGATGGTCATGAACCGCAAAAGGTGGTATCAACCCGTATTGTTCATAATTTACTCGAACCTGCGGGGTACTTACACATCTGATTCGGGGGTTTTTAGTATAGCACGTAGGTACTGTAAACTTAAACCCCATAAATGACGCCTCGGTGTCTTGCAACTTCCGGATGGTTTCAGGTGTGATTACCGTTTGACAAAGGTGAAGACTGCACAGTGCAATAACACAGATTTGCAACAAAAACATATTTTTTAAACTTATATTTCGAAAAAAATCTAAACGGGAATGATATTAGCTGTATATACTATAAGAACCCTAATATTTTTCACAAAATTATAACTGCTCACTACCAAGTATGTTGTATAGACTGAACCGTCGTTATAACTTACGTGGCCATCCAAAACACTTTTTACACGTACGTTAAATTTGTTTCCAACGATAACAATGTTGGTAGTGGGTAAGTTAGATATTCAAGAAAAACTTGAACAAATAACAAGGCGACATAGGATAGGTACAATGTTCGATGTTCGTTTCGCGTACTTTACCCTTCCCCGTCCTTCGGAAAACAAATAAAACAATTTATTTATCGTATGAGGTCCAGTGCGTCCAGTGCGTTTCGATTTCGAGTAAAGTCTAAACGTCAAAACATTATGTCTACG